ACAGTCCTTGTTCATTGTTTATATAAAATCTTAAAGTTTCCACCTTCTCAGTATGTCATTCATCATTTCAGCTTCCACAGAGCTCTGACTTGTGAGCATACAATCAAAGGTAATGGTAACATTAGCTGTGCAAGGTGCTAACATGAAAGAATTTGTTATGGTGGTACTTCTGAGGTAAAGGAATGCCATTGTTAAACATCTTTATAATCTGACAGCTTTTATTTGACACCTCCAAGTTGTACAATACACATATGGGATTAAATACTCTCCACTGAAATATAGTTCAATTCATAGTGTTACTGTCATTAAATGACTTGTAATAATGTGACAATTACAAGTCATTTTCTCTCCTCAGTCACTGTTGCTTTCTTTTAAGAAGCAGCGTTCTCACTTTTATCTGAAGTCCAACAGTCAAACTCTTTTTTTCTTTTGCTTTGCACTCTTCCTCTTTATAGCGCAACTTCAACTTTCTGGATCGCCAACCCCAATAACAACCTCATCAACTGTGCTGCTGCAGGCTCAGAGGTGAGTTTCTCACTCCGGCATTTCCCTCCCCCCCACACCCCACTCCCCTTCCCTCCCTTCCTCCCCCATCTCTCCAGGTGGACATCTATCTCATTACCACATTGCCAGGTCAGATTAATGGCTGTATACTCCTATTAACTTCAGAATCAAACAGACAACCGACAGAAGCACCGCCGCTTTTTCACTATGATAGAGTGCCAATTATGATTCTGGAATTTAACAGGGATACATTGAGCGTAATGGAGTTTATCCTCACCAATGTATTAACATTTCTCATTTGCATACCTGTGAAGAACACAAACACAAAAACAGACAGGATGACATATAAAGAGACAAGGTTGATGCCGTGGTTCTGTGTGTGAGCGTATGCATATGCTGATGTATGTACAACAATGTGGGCACATGAGTCTACACATGTGCATGAATATTTTGTTGTACATTTATTTAAAAATCTTTGCATAACAGCCTCTTTTTGTATGTATATGCTTGTGTGTGTGTAAACCCCCAGGAAACGGGTTTCTGGTTCATTTTCCACCATGTGCCCACAGGCCCCTCAGAGGGGCTGTACTCCCCTGGACACACTGAACACACACCTATGGGCCAGTTCACCAACAACAGAGCCCATTCCAACTACAGGGTGAGTCTGAGGACGAATGGTTCTGGAGGGAAACGGGGTACCGGGATGAATGATGATCATGCCTTGTATACAATTTTTGCACAACAATTAGATATTACATGAAACGCTAAAGCATATATTGCTGCGCAAATGCATTCAAAATACACTTAAAATGACATAATTATACACTTTAGGACAATTTATGTATGTGTCATTTTGCCAGCATCTCTTTTTATTTATCTGTTTGTGCTAAATAATGTTCAGATTTGTTTTAAGTGCAAATTAAGCTTAAAACAGTTTCCTTGAAGCACAGCGAGCTGAGACAACGCCCACCAAGTGTGAAGATGGAAACAGAACTTGACCATTATTCACCTTGGCACAGTAAAGGCACATTGGGCAATAAAAAAGCCTTGATGATGGGGCAGCAGTGGGTCAGGTGCTCGAGCAGGTGGTCAGTGTCTTGGACAAGACACTGAACCGCATGTAGGCGAGCACCCACACTTTACCGCCATTGGTGTGTGTGTGTGTGTGTGTGTGTGTGTGTGTGTGTGTGTGCTTGAATGGGTGAATAAGAAACACATTAAACACATTAAACATGCTCTGTAGACCTAGCTAAGGTTCAAAAGGTGCTATATCGGTGCAGGTCATTTACAATTTACAGTGATGTCTTCAAGGTAATCATCGTTTGACAAGGTGACAACATTACAGGTTGTAGTATGGTATTTCCAGATTTTGTCCTAAAGAAAGCGGTGTTTTGTTTATTTAAAATATTTCTTGATTAATAGATATTTGATAAATATAATAATGACATCAACTGTTTATTAATTGATAAATAAGAGCTAGAGGGAGGTATGGCTACAGATTCTATGTCACAAATGGGAAAGAAGGAAGGGTTAATAATGACAACAACAAAATTCAGGACAAACAACAGAAACAAAGGAAAGTGAGCTAAAGCAGTGGGATTAGATGGAGAGGACAGGAGATAGTTTAAAAGTGCCTGTGGCATCAACCAGAGCTCAAGCAGAGAGAGATTTAGGAGGCGCTCGTGGATAAGGAAGTGTTATTGCTACCTCCCTCCATTTTCTACCCCCAACGGTGATCTCTTTTCTTTTCCATCTCGCTTTTTTCTTCCCTTCTTCGCTTTTAATTTGGATCATCCTAATGGGGGCATAGCTCATGTCAGGTTGCCTCCCAGAATGTTTGTGAGAGAAGAGGTCGTGTCCAGGCTGCAGGTTAGGCATGCCCAGCAGCAACACAGCGGTGGTGTCTTTGCTTTGAAGCAACAAATTGGCTGAGGAAGGCTTCTATCATTGTGAATGTTTTTGTTTAAATATAAAGGAAAGTGAAAGGATTTTGGTTTAAGAGTTCCAATACATCTGGGGCATCTTGTTCTTTGGGTAGTTGATGGAAGTTGTGTCGAGTGTTTAAAGGCTTAGTTTGAATTTATAAGGCGTCAGTGTTTCACCTGCAGTAGATGCATGCCTCCAGTTTAGAGAAGCAGACAGAAGTACTGGCACAGAAGCTAGGAATGTATTTTAACCACCTAAAAAAGGCCTGACACTGAAAATTTTTACCATTTTACCTTGTCATCATGCAGCCCTTTCGGGAGGGAACTGAAGTCATTGTGTTATTCTTTTCTCAGCCACCAGACTCTTTTGTCAAAAACAGTCATTTTACCTGACAGAATGAGGAGTTGCCTTGATCGGTTTAGGTTTTTTGTGTAACTTCTCAACTGAACTAATGTGCTGAAAATCCTGAGTCACACACAATAACAGATTCCTGTTTTAAACTGTTAACCACCATCCAGTGCAGGTAAGACGCGGACTTTGGATAGATAGCTCAGGCAGTCTCACTTTAAAAAGACAACACAAACCAACACTTCTGATTTAAGGTCAGTGCTGTGTTTACATCTGTCTTGGGTGCATCACCCTCGTACTTCGGTAATGCATATGTTTTTGTGTTTTTCTTAAATATTTGAATGTTTAAAGTAATGCTTCTCACTAGTACTGCCAAATGTACTATGAATCATATTCAACTCCACAGCTCTTTGCAGCCATGTGCCTTTTAGCTCATTATTTTATTTCTGCGGCTTGCATATTGACTGTAAAGTTGCATCCCAATTACACCAATCTCATCCACCAAATAAAACCTACATGAGATATAAAGCAGATAAGACACTAACTACCCACCATGAAGCAGGAGAGAGCTGATAGAAAAACAGTAGCAGGTAAAGCAAATCACAAGTATAGCAGGTAAAGAAAAAGAACTTTTTTTTTTTTTTTTAAGGAAATGGTAGCCACTAAACCAAAGCTACAGTCCCATGAAAAAATAAGTAAAGGATCACAACGTCAAGGTTAATAGTCCGTTTTATTAAACCTCGCACAAACACTGTCAGGGACACATGATTCAGAAGCATATTCACTGAGACTGATTGCATACATGAGAGCAGCTGCATCTGATTTAACCCGAGTGCATTTCTCTTCATTAAAAACCGATGCTGGCTGTTCAACATGTGTCTGGAACAGGGTGCAAAAGAAACGTCTCCTGCTACTCAGCCTGATTTATTTGTTGAAGTTGCCAATAAACATGTTTCACAATGACATTCATGCACTTTTTTTTTTTGCAAAAGGAAAATCCAAAAATAACACAGAAATAGCTCACCAAAAAGGTCAGCGTGTGTAGGAAGTCTGTTGAGTGTTTTCATAGTCTCATAATATTAATTTTATATATGTTAATAAAACGAGTTTTTTGGCGGCTCAGTGTGAGTAGGAGGAAACAGCTTGATTTAGGTTTAAAAGTACCTATAAAATCATGGTAAATCAACTTTTGAACATTGTTCAGAAAGACAACTTACTTCAAACATTGCTTCATATCATTTTTGTTTAGGGTCTATACCTAATTGTGTCTTCTTTCTCTTCTAGGCTGGAATGATCCTTGATAATGGAGTAAAGACCACCCAGGCAAATGACAGGGATAAAAGACCCTTCCTGTCTCTGGTTGGAGCCAGGTCAGACTTAACATCCTCACCCCATGACAAACTAGCTGAAGCTATATCACACCCAGTATAGCTATGCATGGTGAATTTGCTGCCTGTAATGGACATGTTTCCTGTGGATCTTTTGTAACTGTTTATTTTAAGCATGATAGTTTTTCCTAAACTTAACAAAGTAGTTTTGGTCCCAAAATGTATCAGCAAGTGACAATAAAATTGAAATTTTAAAAATAGTGCACACACACTGGACATGAACCTCAGCCTTAAAAGCAGGGCTTATAAGTGGAGCGGAACAAGGGATATTTCAACATCACAGACCTGTGGGCCTCATAGCCCCCACACAGCGCTCGATATCGCTCAACTTAGATTTCACCTCCCTCCACACAAACTGCTCACCACTCACTCTAACAAAAGAAACACGGCTGAGTGTTCTTTTCCCAGATTACTTTAAATGTAATTCATTGCGTTTAAAAGTATCCCAATCCAACTTGCCTCAAATCTATGGTTAATACTTCTTTAGCTAGTAAAGACAAGCAGACCATTAGGTTATTAATCGAAAATATCTTCTCTAGTTACCCAACAAATTAAAGATATTAAATGATTCCTCTCCAGTTACACTCAGGCCTTTAAGGAAAATACAATACCACCTCTAAAGTGAAATAACTCAGTAGGCCAAGGCTAACTAAATGAAAGTAATTTGGCCTAGGCCACAAAACACAAGTTAACCAAGCCTATATTTGCTGTAATGTGCAATTTTTAAATTTTAATAAGTGAGGTTTATAACTTGTAGCTGCTGTTTTTTAAGTTTACCTTTAAGAATGTAAGTTTGGCCACACTTGGAGGCTTCGGACTGATGCGGTGGTTTCTGGACAGCAGGCCAGCAGTGGATGACCAGACTTTCAGCACTTGCAGAGCCGCTTGGGATGCTGAACATTGTGTGTGTTGCGTTAGCCAGGTGCAGACAGGAGTCGGTGTTTTCTTTCCAAAACAGAATAACATCTGACTCAGGGTTCCAGCTCGGACAGGAGAAATCGTTTTCATCTTCATCTTTGGCGTCTTCAGACAAGCGCAGTTGCTCACATAAGCATGCCCTGAAAAGGCAAACTTTTCTGCTTATTCAGGGCTCAGGATTCAGGGAGGTTGGTCCTATACTTGGTGGACTGGTGACACTGTTACTTACCTTAGTTTATTCTATGAGGAGGTCGTGGGGGAAAAGTTGCAGCAATGCCCACTGGAAGTGTAGCTTCAGTAAGCAGGGACCTAGTTTTCATGACAACAGGAAGATCTTCCTCAGACTCCATAGCTTCTTTTGCATTTTGTCTGTAAGGTCTGCCAGCGGTGCCAACACATCAGCAATGTGTGTCAGCTGGTGTACTTTGTGTTATGGTGTTATGTGTGGTCGTGGTACACTTGACTCTTCATTTATCTTTGGCTCCTATAACCAAAGAATGTGCTTCCAATATTCATCAGGATTCTTTCCATGACTTAGCACAATTGACTCTTGCAGTTTAGTCCAGGACAGCAAGGGTGTTTTACTTGGATCCTGTCCATTGAGGATGATATCCTGAACTGACCTTCATACAGTCTGAACTGCTTTGTGCAAGTTGTGCACTGTCCATGACAACATGTTAGGCAGATGGCCACTCCAGCTCTGATTAGTGGCACTATGACTCATTCTATACCTTCTAATTACTGCTTCAACTGTGTTGATAGATTTTATTAGGGTAGGTAGAAATCACATGTGTACTCAGTCTGGGATCACAGGTGCATTTACTTACTGTTTTGCTTTGAGTTTCTACATGAGTCCATGTGTTTTCATATAGTCTTCAAAACTATGTGTTTGTATTGTTTATTAGGGAATACTTTATTGTCAGCTTAGAAATAAAATGATTATTGAGAGATGATACGGTTGTACTGGGGTGTACTCATGTTTGTTGTATACTGTACATCAGTTACTTTGCTATTGTACTCAGGAGTAACTGTAGGGCAAGTGTTTGTAATTAGGGTCATAGCAACCACAGTGTCCCCAAAGCAACCAGGACATTAAAGTAGCCTGATCTGTATATGGTTAGCACAAATGTAAAACAACAAAAAATAAAACCAGAAAGTAAAAGAATCACAATACTCTGTAAAAATAAATAAATAAATAAAAAAATTTAACTTTTCAGCTACGAATACAGCTCAAACGTAAGTATCATCAAATACTAACATTCTGTTACCCTACTCCATTGTTTAGGTATGGACCCCACCAGGATGCTGATCCCTTCAAACCCAGAGTCCCTGCTCTTATCCACCACTTTGTAGCCTATAAGAACCAGGACCATGGAGCCTGGCTGAGAGGAGGGGATGTCTGGCTCGATAACTGCCAGTGAGTAGTACATGCATGGACCCTAGATTGAGCAAAGTGTTGACAAGTAAAGAAATGAGTGAATATATGTTTGTCCAAGTGAAGTTTGTCAACTTTTAGTGCAAATGAATGTAGCAAAAAAAAAAACAAATTCTCATCATGAGTTTTGCGTGTCACAGCTGGTTATTCTGCACATTTGATGACAGATGAAAGTGAGAAATTCATCCCTATCTGACACCTTTGTATCCCCCTTAGACTGTGTGTGTGTTCTCTGGAGACAGCAATATGTTGCTGTGCTTGTAGCAATAATATTCTCCCATTTTTTCGTTTAGATTTGCTGATAATGGCATTGGCCTTACTCTGGCAAGGTAAGACTCCCTCTCTATTAAACCACTGGTCATATTTCTATGGAGAGGAACAAAGGGCCATTGTATGCATTTACTGCTCTCTCTCTCTCTCTCTCTCTCTCTCTCTCTTTCTTTCTATCTACTTAATCTTTTTCTCTGAGTGTGAGTAATTGGAAAATGCCTTATAAGGAGAATGCTTAGGAAACACTATGACACGGAGTGTTTTGATGCAATGTGAAAAGTTATTGAGGAGTGTGGTGGTCACAGATGTAGTAATTGGTCAAAAGTTACAACTGGCTTTACCAAGCTTGGTTTTTTTTTTCAGTGCTCTGTTCAGAAGGGTGTGTATCCCTCAAAATGACACCTTCCTGTAACTGTCTGGAGAGCACATGAATCTTAAAATCAGACAGTTTTCTGTTTTAAGGTGTGTTGAGTAAACAAAGCTTTTGTAAAATAATTAAGTAAGGCAGAACTCTGCGGCTCTGGGGTTGTGCTGCAGTATGGCTGAGAAGAATATGCTTGGTATTCTCTGACTTTATCACTGACTATTCATTTTAATGGAACATTGAACATTGAGATTGAGCCGAGGCTTAACAGGCTGTCAACTGACAGTGGAACTGGTTAAGTATAAGGCTGCCCACTCACAGCTGATGGTTGTCATGGCAGTGAAGTCAAAAAGAGCATTTTCTATCATCTCACTTTAAATAGTAATATAATCAATGGCGCCCCACAGCTGATGTCCTGCATTTACGTAGATTTTCTCAGATAACTTCCCTGCCATAAAAAGTGAGTGGATCATGTGGGCTGTCCACTCCTGACCAGATGTTGCCTGTGGTATCGTTGTTTGCTAACAGAGCAAAGAATGGAGATTTTACAGTCATGTGTTCACTGTGGGTTGAGATCTACCCAAAACCAATCGGCCACACTATGTTCACACAAACATTCAGACAGCTTCACAAAGCTTCGTCCTGGTAGATCAAGCCTAGCGGGTATGCATAAACGTGGTCTTTACTCATTTGATATCATACCTCTATAAAGATGAGGGACTCCCAAAATGCAGATTCAAAAATAATCATCCTGTAGGATAGTCTCTACAGTCTGGACTCTGCAGCTCTCCAGAAAGCCAGATTCAGCTGTTTTTCCTGCAGAGGGTTCAGTTCTTCAACGTATACGTCACCATGCTGAGGATGTTCCGCGGTAGCCAGTGTTTTTTTCCATGCTGTGCTCTGCCAGGGGAAAAACCTGAGGATGGATGACACCAAAGGGCTCAAACTTCTTAAGAAGGCTGCCTGGGTGTGGAGCTGGACAGTGCACAGCAGAGAGAAGTTGTTGTTAAAATGCCTCTCAAACATGGACAGCATCTCTCAGCCTCTGCTCACTATTCTTGCTATAATATGACAAAATGCTTTACTGATGCCTCTAAGAGAAACTTCTGTCCTTTGGCCATCCAAAGGAATTTCTTTTTCGGCTCAATATTTTTTTTTTAAATCTTTAAAACAAAATTTTAATTTAGCTTTTTTATTCAGTTGTACAGTTTCAGCGATCTTTGTAACAGTAACAAAGGAATATTCTTTCTGGGATTATAAAACTCTTACTCCTATTATTTTAGTATGACTCAGACTCCTACCGAACTGAATAGTTTACTTTCCCTCATGCAACCAGACAGCAGCTGTCACCCACTTTTTAATGTCCAAACTTTTACTTTCTACCATCTCATAACCTAGCTGAAAAAAATACGTAATGCTTATAACCCTTATTTTCAAAATTCTAAGACATATAGTTGTTTTCACACAATAAGCATAAGAGATGACATTGGGTGAGTTGTCATTAAACAGCAGGGATGCTTGGTTTATATTAGTTGGAGAAAAACATATCATACAATATATATTATACCTGTTATTTCAGCTTAAACACTTGTCAAGTGTCTTCATTTATTTCTGCAATCCTGAGCATGATTTGAATATCAGCTGGGTTAGCTGTATATCAGTAAGAATATGAGTAAGAAACAATGCACATGCTTCAGAGCTTTTTTTTTCTTATGCAGGAACACAGGAGCCGACCAAGGCTACTGTTATTTTCAGTTACTTTCAGTCAATTTGCATTTGAGCTGTTGACTCAGACAACTTTTCAGAGGATTAAAATCGCTTTTATTTTCAGCAATACAAATACACAATGTTACAGAGGCAGCTTTAAAGATGTAATCCCTATGAACATATAGCTGTGACTGAAACAAAGAAATATAGTGCTCAACAAATGAAGGGTACACTGAAATCACACCAGAGATCTCAATGAACAAAACTTCAAGTTTAACATCTTTATTTATTTTATCTGTAATTCATTCAAAACAAAATGATGTAAGAACGATCAGTGGTACCCAAAATCTTTTACCCACTAAAGGCTGGATTCAAAATCATGCTGTAAGGTAAAGTGAAAACTGAAATCATAGGCTAATCCCTCATGTGTTCATTTCAAACAATGTTAAAGCATGCTCCTGATGAGACTGTGCATAGTGTCCTGGGGGATCTATTCCTAGACCTGGATCAGGGCATCTGGACGATCTGTTTCGTTACTTGTTGACTTCAGATGCACCAATTTATGAGGGCTAGTCAATGGCATTATTGCCATTGTCATCTAGGAACTGCCAACACACTATGGCCGAGCACAAGGCCCAGCATTGTCCTGCACCAGGATGAATCCAGGGCCCACTGCCCCGGCGTACTGTCTGAAAGAGGCTCTGAGGATTTCACCCTGGTGCCTAACAGCCAGCATACTGTTGGAGCGTCACACAGACCTCCATGTGCTAGCCAAGGACATGCAACCTGAACAGGCTGCAGGTATTACCTCATGCTGAGAGCAACGACAAAGGCATGAGCAAAATGCAAAACTTGAGACAAGCCAGTCAAGAAGGATAAGGAGAGAGAAATGATCTGTGGCCACCACCTGCAAAACCATTCGCTTTTTGAGGTTGTCTTGTCACTTTCACCTGCACTAAAGCAGGTGAAACTGATTGACAATACCTTCCTGACTGGCCCATTAATTCCAGAGCTTTAACTGAATAAGTGATGTACTATGATGATTAAATGTTTTTTTGGGCAGTGTAGTTAGTAGTTAGCCCATGCTCTGACCATAAATGACCGTAGATTATAGAGT